CACAGGAAGCTCAGCTCTGTGCTCTGTGATGACCTAGATGGGCGGGATGGGGGGGGGCATGGGAAGGAGGTCCAAGAGGGAGGGGCTATATGTATACATATAGCTGATTCACTTCGTTGTACCACAGAAACCAACACTACATTGTAAAGCAACTATGCTACAATTAAAAAAGAAAAAAAATGAACCAGACTCTTACTGAAACGTAGATAATGGCAGTGTGAGGTTGTATCTTACCATTTAAGACCGTGCATGTATCAGATATTTATTTAAGAGGCTGAAATGTTTAAAGGAATTTTAAAATATATTTTGTTCAATTCATCTTTAAATATTTGCAGTTTAGAAAGCCTAGACTGTAATCACCCACCAGAGACAAAAGTATCTCATAATAGTTGACAGGGGAGATTCTTTACCCATATATCTGGGTTCAAATACTTCCTGTTATTTATTAGCTGTGTGACTTAGAGCAAGTGACTTATACTCTCCTTGCTGAAGTGTCTTCATCTGTAAAACAAGAATGATAATAGACAATACTATTATTAGTAGAGTACTGTAATTACAATGAGGAATAAATAATAAAAGTAAACACTAAGAGTGCCCTTAGCAAAGACTAGTAAGCACTGATCTAAGCATTTTAATACATGTTCTTATTAATTCCTTATGAGAAGCCCACAGATTATGTATTATTACCCTATTTACAGATGAGGAAATGATGGGAGAGATGCTGACTGACTTGCCAAGTCAAGAAGCCAGTGTTTGGCAGACTCACTCTTTGAACTCAAACAGTCAGGGTTCACTGTCTGTCTTACAACCACTTTATTTCCTGATTCTTTCATGGGTGATTTTATTTTAAGCTTTAAAGGTAGGTGAGCTCACATATGTAAAGTATTTAAATCTTTACATGTATGTCTGGCATTGACTAAGTGCCAGTAAATGTTAGTTGCTTTTCTTACTACTACTCTTTCTACTACAATTTAATAGTTAACCTATGAATGTCAGAAACTGAAGTGCCTGATATACATATAACATCTTATGTGCATAAATGCACAGCATCTTCTCATCAGTGTAACTGATACTTTGTTAGAGAAGTCTCTATCACAGCAGCTTGTTACTAGTAACATTCTCTCTCTCTCTTTTTATACACCTGGCTTATTGTTTGTCTGCTTTAAACTACATAAGAGAAGAAAGTTTGTCTACCCTTTTTCTGTTTCATACCCAGCAAACAGCTGGACACATCATAGGCCCTTAGTAAATATTTGTGATAAATAAAGGTGAACACAATAGAAATAAGAAGAAAATGATCTTTTTTCCCTTAGTAAATATTTTTGATAAACAAAGGTGAACATAATAGAAATAAGAAGAAAAGGATCTTTTTCTTCCCTCAGTCACTTGCATAGCCTATCAACAACATCGAAATGAGGACACAGTGCATTATTTTTCTATAACCATTAACAAGGTGACAAGCAGGCCCTTGGCATAAAGAATGTGAGCATAAAAGAATTGTAAGAGAGGGCTCTCAGGCCCCCTTAATGGTACCATTGCCTCTCTCGCTGGATTACCTACCTCCTTTGTCTCAAGAGAAGCATAAGAAGGCAAATATATTTCCTAGAGTCACAGCCAAGATGCAGGTCAGCTCCAGAAAACTATGAAATACCTGCTACAGGAGATTTCTTGGTTTTGGAGGAAAAATATTTGAATTCAAAGAAGAAATTTTTCTTCCTCCAAAAGAGATATGTATACTAATATATTGTGCAGAATAATACTTACTTACCCTTATAGACTTACATATCTTATTTCTATTTGAGAGTTAATACTACCAGATAACTTTTCTCCCCTTCATGTTCTCAGCAAGAATAAACCATAAGGAGTATTGATATGTTTATTTTAATATCTGAAACTAGACCCTAGTTTTCAAAGTTTGGAGCACAGAATTATAATATAAAGAAACATGAAGAGGGAATATTTTTTAAAAAGAGTGAAAACCAATGATTTATTAGTGGAAGTTATTTTCTTATATGGAGACCTTTGGAGAAATGAACACAAGAAAGAAGATATGAAACCTTCTTAAATGTCAATTTTTTGGTAAGAAGTAATTTCTTGGTACTGATTTTCACCTAAGAATGTGTTTGCGATAAGATTTATAAATTGTTTAGGATTGATTGAAAGAGTTGCTCTTAGTCTTATCATATATTTTTTATCACATATGTAGATTTTAATTAATCATGTTATAATTAATATATGAGTGTATATTGTGTAAAAGGTCATGCTGTGGACCTAAAATGTATAAGCCATTGTTCTAATCCCAAAAAATGTCATCGGGGTGATATATCAGTATAATGCAGAAAGGACAGTGTGATTCGTCAGTGAAAACAATGCTCTTACATGCATTGCATTTTGTTTACCAACAACAGTTACTCGATTTTGACTCAGTTCACCTGATCACATTTTAATAAATCAGTAAAACATACTGATGTCACCTGAATACAGTGTGAAGAATTGTCTGTGACCTCTGATAGCTATATGTTTATAGCTTTAGTCAGTAAAATGATTGCTGTTTTTACCATAGTAGAATTTTAATCTAGATACAAAAATTTAATTCAGAGGGGAAATTTGGTGCAATCATGTAATGAAAAGGAAAGAATGCCAGGGATAGAACCTCAATAGGATCTCTCTGGTTAGAGTAAGAGAAAGAAGATTGATATGTTGTAAACAAAGAGACGTGATGATGAAACTCTCAATTCTAACCCAGAGCTCTTTCTCTAGTAAATCAAATTAAATACTTATTGCCTTTTTAAAATGGACTTTTCTCTCATCTTAAAATATTTAATAAAGTAATACTTATTTTAATATACTTACATAGTTCTTATAGTGTACATTCTAATGGTTATGCTTTTTTATGCTACAGTTCACAGAAACTTATGTTTAGTAATTCAAATATGAGCATATAGTGTCATCAATTTTTAAAAATCTAAACAACAGTCATATATGTTATATCATGAAAATATTGAAATATATGAATGAAAATTCAACCAACATATTTTTACAATGTTTTGAACCATGAGGTGCTTTATAGGCTTCTGTTCTTTCTTAACATTCAAATTAATTTTATTTAATTCAAAGCTCCTTCTTTAAATATAGGGGCAACATGTATTTAATTTTGCCAGTTTAAAATAAAATATTTTTGTGCTTTAATTAGCCATTCTCTTTGTGCAGTATCCTTACTGGGTATACTGTAAATATTTGCAAATAGTCCTTACTCCACAATCCATATTGTAAACAGAATTTGAATACGCCCTTTGAAAGGAATGAGGGAATTAATTAAATATATTTCATATATTTTCAAAAATGAACGTCTGCAGCCTAGAAATACCAATGCAAAAAGGACTAGATTTTTTTTTAATTGCAGGTATAACACTTTTGATTTGTTGCAAAAATAAATGAGTTGCGATGAGACAGAATGAAATTAGCGTGGTTTTGTACAGCTGTGTCTCACTTCAGAGAATAAATCTATTCTTGAAAATGCAGAAAATTACTTTAAAAAATTAAGCCTTAGTTTAGACATACTAGCAAACCCCACTTTTAAAGGAACATTTGTTTGTGTATGTGTGTGTGTGTGTGTATGCGTGTGTATCTTTGCTCAGTGCTTTGCATATAGTCAGAAGGGACAAAACAGCTTTAGGGGAAAAAAACTATAAAATCTTTATTATGTATATCCAAATCACAAATTTCAAATTCTTTTCTCGAAAGAATTTTTATATGGCTCATGTATGAAATCACTTGTGTATTTACATTGACATAGAAGTAACAAAGCACCTACATGTTGAGGATGGTATTGGGAGAGATTTTAATAGAATTTCAATATCTAGATTACAATCTCCATGAGGACAGGTAATATTTTATGTTTTGATCCCTGAAATGTTCCAAGCCTGTATGTCGTACAGAGTGAGCACTCAATATATTCATTATTCTCAGAATACTTTTGTTGAATGAATGAATGGACAATTTGTAAATGATCACCATGCTTGTTTTAGATAATAAAAATGAGAATGTAGCCAGTTGTAAGTTACTTGTTTGAGACAGGTAGTGGCAATACCTAATACATAGGTTCCTAAGGCAGTGATATTGTCTTCAGTAAAATATTTTATTCTTAAGTGCTAAATCAATGATAAAAGTAAACATCTAACCAAGGTTATTTGTACTAAAATGTTATACTCTTTTATTCTATATACCTCCTTTCTTAAATCATCCTATGATTTACAAAGCATTTCTCCATGATCTAGATACATAAAGTAATATCAATTTTATTATGACAATTTATTTGTCCATTCAATAAACACTTAGTAAATGCTTTCCTTCAGCAGTATGCTAAGTAGTGGGAATAAAATTGTGTACACGTGACTGCCACAGTCCCTGCCCCATGGACATCTCCTCTTGTGACAGAAACAAATAAAAAACAAGTAAACACATACATTAGCAAAATAAATTTGTCTTGTGATAGTGCTTTGAACAAAATTGATGGAGATTGGGAGTTTGGGGATTGAATGAATCTGTAGTTACAGTGATCGGGGATGCACTTTCAAGGAAGTAACATTTAAGCTGAGATCTGAAAGTTGCAAGTTCAGCTTAAAAGTGACTTCCCCATTTGTATAGGGTCTAAAATATCTCCAAAGGCAGGCATCTATGCCACTGGGAGGGGGGCAAGGAGAGAGGTTACTACAGCTGTGATGTGCAGTCATCAGTAGAGTTGGAAATGTTTGCATCGAGTAGTTAATTCCTATTTACCAAAATGGAAACGTCCCTATTATGTCAAATAGTTATTATGAGGCACCCATATTTTTTATGTTGTTCAACCAATGTTTGGGATGTTAAAATAACTGCCTAATAGAAAACAAAGAAATAGAATTTTAATAATACCCAAGCAAGTGCAGTATAAATTTATATATCAAATCTTGACTATATTTCTATTTTTTATTTGATTTCTTTATTTTATACATGTTTCCCAGGATAGTCCACTGGTCTTACAGTCTGACAGGAATGTAACAGTGAATGCAAGAAATCACATGGGGCAGTTAACTGGACAGCTGACAGTAGGTGAGTGCTTTGGGGTAAAGATTGCTCATACCATCTTACTCCATTTAAAACTCTGTGGTTGTTTAAATTGGGAAAAGCAGAAGTATATTATTTCTCTAATATATATTTAGGCATCCCATTCCAGACCAATTAGCTTGCACATGATTTGATTTGTCATAGGCTAGCTATGGTCATTGTTACTCTTGTCATTATGTTATTGTGATACTGAATTATGTATATTTTACTGTTATTACTCTTGAATTATGAAATGTACCACTTTCCTAACAATATCTCCCTAGTATATGTTAAATTATAGTAAATAGGCTAAAACAAACATGAGATGTAACATCTATGTATCCTTTATCTGCTTATAAAATTAGAAAAAATAATACAGTAATTGAATATAAAAAATCTTAACATTGATCAATTACTTATAAATTTGATGTTGAAATTATATATATCTTAAGGTTTATAGGGTTTAGAAGTTGTAAATATAAGTTTATGATAAAATATTACTAATGTTTTCTCATATTGTCAAAAAATTAATTTAGAGATTCGTTAGTGGCATTATTATTTGACTGAATTTTTATAAGAAAAAAGGGAAACTAAAAGTCAGTTGTAATTATGTAAAATGATACAAAGACTTGATCTGTGTGTAATTACTAGAATATTTTTAAAATACTGTATTTTTCTGTGGGAAAATTACCTAATACTTACGGATATTGTATATGTATGATAGTATATTATAAAGAGTAAATTGCAATTTTGAGGGCTGAGTTATCCTTATCTTGAGAAATTAATCATCATCTAATGCAAATGTATGTTTCCAGTATTTCTAATTAAATTACAAGAGTATGACATGTGAAATGTGAGATTTATAAACATGAACTTGATTCTGTCCACTTATTTCTAGGTATATGAAACACTTTTTGATGTTACTCACTTTAATGAAGCCAAAAGTGAAACTTACATTGTGGCATATGTGTATTTTGAAAAAATATAATTGCATTTTATTATAATTATTAAATTTTATTTTGCATTTTATTTACGTTATAAAAGTTGGTCAGTAGATACCTATCAATTGCTACATTTGATAGTATTTTGTGACATGATATCAATTACAGGGGGGGGGGCTGTAGATAAATGGATTAAAAATTAGAGAAAAGAAATGTGTCTGTGGACACAGAACTGATTCAGAAGCACCAGGTGCTTAATTTAAATGTCCATGCCAATTTACTATTGCTATGTTGGAACTGCAGAAACAGGCCTAAACTGGGCAGATTTTCCATATCATAATTTTTTTTAACGTTGAGAACTCTTTAGCTAGATAGAACTTTATTCTGCATCCTTTTCTTGGTTAAAAAAAATTAAAAAACGTCCATAGTGGAAATGCCAACCTGTAAATTAAACACGCAAAGACCATATACCAATGTCCACTGTCACATGCAATCACTACATAACTACTGTACTACCTATAGAGCAAAGCGGCTGTTTGATTTTATGAAGGATAATCAAATGCCATTTACATTTTGCTACCTGCTTTCCTGCAGTAAATAAAGAATAATAGTATTGTGATTGTGTTTTCAACCACTGTTCCAAGTTGATTTTAACGTAGAATCAATATTTTCCAATTACACGAAAAGAAAGAGAGAAGAATGAAGAGGAACAGCAAGGGTGATAGGTTAGGGAGAAAGATTAAGCTTAGTTTTAAATGAAGCAAGTCTATTTAATGATGCAGCATCTTATTTCTGTGGATAGAAACATACTCATTCCAGTGAGGCTTAAGCTGAAAACTGTTTAATATCCTGGTCCTCTGAGTGTACTGTTGGTGACCTCCATCTTTTCACTGTTTTGTATGTTTCAATAAACATACAGAGAACAAAGGAAGAAGTAGATAAAGGGGAGTAGGTCAGGGATAATGTATTCATTTTTGGAGTCAAACCATATGGGACTCCAAAACAATAATTATCTCTTGGAGACTCACTTTTCTCATCTCTAAAATAGAGATACGGACATTTATTTAGAATCATACATAAGAATTGGGGCAATTTCATTGTCTGCAAATCTTAGGCAATTAAATCTCGAATTGGTTATTATTTGGATGATGGTGATTGTAATTTTTGGTATCACTTAAGTTACAAATACATTGCTATCATGTGAAAAATTTCATGATGCTTTTCTATCCAATGTGTCTCTGGGATAGTAGTTGAGGAATACATGCTGGATTATAATACTGTTACAAAGATATACTACAAAACGCATCACAGAAAGTGTGCCTGATGTGTGGATAATGTTTTAATCATGTCATGATAAAATTATCTTTAGGTAGAATTTGAAGAGATAAATGGATGGATTCAAGCAATGTATTCAGTCAGGATTCATTTTTAATTATATTGACATAAAGTAACTGTTTTAAGCCTCTTTTCCTATTTCCTTTTTTGCATTCTTTCAGTTTTTGTTTAGGGGCATGGTCTTGATTATAGTTTAGGCATGACATTACTTGGCAATATTTGAAAAAATATGCTACTGCAAAATAGACTAATATTTATGGAAAATAAATTCAGTTATTCTTCACTGTCTAGGTAAAAAAATTCTAATCTGTACCCTAAATCTATCAATCATGATTAGGAAAGTATAGTCAATTCTACCAATGTGACAGACTTTGAATATTTTTCCACATTTTATTTTCATTGTAAATGGGAAAAGAAAATTTCCCTTATCAGTAGCTACTTGTAACATTTTTCTCAAAAATACATATAAGGTTGTTCAGCCAAGCAAATATCCACTGCCCTTGTACCCTGCCCTTCTAGTTTTGTTTACAAGTCTACCTTCCTACTGATCCAGTTCTCAGGGATACGTGTAGTCCATGGCCTAGGCAGACCGCTGTGTTAATTCTAATCCAAACTCACTCTAAGAATATGAAACCAGATTATTTATAATCCAATAAGGCAAATAAAATATTTTATATATATGCCAGCTCAGACATAATCAAAACTAAAATGAAACATTTTTAGAATTTGGGTAAATTTTAAAAATGACAAATATTGTTGTATGCTTAAAGTGCCAGGCTTTATGTAAATTTCTGATATATCAGAATCTCCCTATGAAATTTAAGACTGTAATTTCTTTTTGACTCTCATTTGTTTTATTTTTTATTTATATATTTTTAACATCTTTATTGGAGCATATGCTTTAAAATGGTGTGTTAGTTTCTACTTTATAACGAAGTGAATCAGTTATACATATACCTATATCCCCCTATCTCCTCCCTCTTGCGTTTCCCTCCCACCCTCCCTATCCCACCCCTCTAGGTGGTCACAAAGAACCTAGCTCATCTCCCTGTGCTATGTGGCCGCTTCCCACTAGCTATCTATTTTACGTTTGGTAGTGTATATATGTCCATGCCACTCTCTCACTTTGTCCCAGCTTACCCTTCCCCCTCCCCATATCCTCAAGTCCATTCTCTACTATGTCTGTGTCTTTATTCCTGTCTTGGCCCTAGGTTCTTCATGAACTTTCTATTTTTTTCCCTCAGCTTCCATATATATGTGTTACCATACGGTATGTCTTTCTCTTTCTGACTTACTTTGAATATTTTTCCACATTTTTTCATTGTAAACTAAACATTTTTAGAATTTGGGTAAATTTTAAAAATGACAAATATTGTTGTATGCTTAAAGTTCCAGGCTTCACTCTCTATGACAGACTCTAGGTCCATCCACCTCACTACAAATAACTCAATTTTGTTTCTTTTTATGGCTGAGTAATATTCCATTCTGTATATGTGCCACAACTTCTTTATCCATTCATCTGTTGATGGACACTTAGGTTGCTTCCATGTCCTGGCTATTGTACATAGAGCTGCAGTGAACATTTTGGTACATGACTCTTTTTGAATTATGGTTTTCTCAGGGAATATGCCCAGTAGTGGTATTGCTGGGTCATATGGTAGTTCTATGTTTAGTTGTTGTTGTTGTTTTTTTTGAGGTATGCAGGCCTCTCACTGTTGTGGCCTCTCCCGTTGTGGAGCACAGGCTCTGGATGTGCAGGCTCAGTGGCCATGGCTCATGGGCCCAGCCGCTCCACGGCATGTGGGATCTTCCCAGACCAGGGCACGAACCCATGTCCCCTGCATCGGCAGGTGGACTCTCGACCACTGCGCCACCAGGAAAGCCCTATTTTTAGATTTTTAAGGAACCACCATACTGTTCTCCATAGTGGCTGTATCAATTTACATTCCCACCAACAATGCAAGAGGGTTCCCTTTTCTCCACACCCTCTCCAGCATTCATTTTTTGTAGATTTTTTGATGCTGGCCCTTCTGACTGGTGTGAGATGATATCTCATTGTAGTTTTGATTTGCATTTCTCTAATGATTAATGATGTTGAGCACACTTTCAAGTGTTTGTTGGCAATCTGTTTCTTCTTTGGAGAAATGTCTGTTTAGGTCTTCTGCCCAATTTTGGATTGGATTGTTTGTTTTTTTGATATTGAGCCTCATGAGCTACTTGTAAATTTTGGAGATTAATCCTTTGTCAGTTGCTTCATTTGCAAATATTTTCTCCCATTCTCAGGGTTGTGTTTTCGTCTTGTTTATGGTTTCCTTTGCTGTGCAAAAGCTTATAAATTTCATTAGGTCCCATTTGTTTATTTTTGTTTTTATTTCCATTTCTCTAGGAGGTGGGTCAAAATGGATCTTGCTGTAATTTATGTCATAGAGTGTTCTACCTATGTTTTCCTCTAAGAGTTTGATGGTGTCTGGCCTTACATTTAGGTCTTGAATCCATTTTGAGTTTATTTTTGTGTATGGTGTGAAGGAGTGTTCTAATTACATACTTTTACATGTACCTGTACAGTTTTCCCAGCACCACATATTGAAGAGGCTGTCTTTTCTCCACTGTATATTCTTGCCTCCTTTATCAAAGATTAGGTGACTATATGTGCGTGGGTTTATCTCTGGGCTTTCTATCCTGTTCCATTGATCTATATGTCTGTTTTTGTGCCAATACCATACTATCTTG